GAGGGGAGAGAGAGAGGAAGTGAGTCACAGTATCTTGTAAAACCAGAGGAGGACTTCCCTTTCTACTCTCTTATTCTCGACAGCATCAGCCTGGAGGATGCTGCAGACATCCAAGCATCCAGGGTGTTTGACCACAGGCAGTAGGGATACTTCCTGGGACCCCGCACTTCCCTAGAAATACCTCTGCTGGATTAGGGTGCCACAATTAGTGGAGTGTCTATTCCAGGATGGTCTTGTCACCACTTGCTTAGATCAGAGGTTGGATTAGCTTTGATGTCTGTCTGAACCTCTGAACCCCATGTGAGACACCTCTGAGGGTCTGCACTCCGCAAGCCTTCACTCTTCGCTTGTAAACCAAGGAGTAGACAGGGCCAGGATGTGTGCCTAAGTCATTTTTTGTTTTAGTGATTGAGATGAAAATGCACACCCTAGGACTGCTGACATATTTACTTTACATCTTGCCTTGAGCACAAATAATTTGCCCCAGACCCAAACGCCGTTGGGCTCGCTCAAACACTAGCAGAGTCACAGAGCTCCAAGCAAGTATCAGAGGTAATTCCTCTTTTCCAGGCTCCTGGAGGCAGGACCAGGGCGAGCTTTAGTCTAAATGGGAAGCTCAGGGCTCAGGAGATGATGGCCTGCAGAACACAGGGACTGTGCAAGGGGGTAAGCCAGGGAAACTTCTGGACTATGGATAAGTGGGGGATGCCCAACAACCGAACAGCACATTAACCGTGGGAGAAGTCTATGCCATGCTGCCCTGCTGTGTGTCACCATCCTCATGATCCTCAGTTCTGGGACAATGAGAGTCACTGGACCAGGCTGGGACATATGCACTCTCAGGCAGCACAAGCTCACTGACTTGGCAAAGCATTGCAGATTAGTAGTTAAACGCAGGTCTCTGGAACCAGATGGCATGGGTTTGAATACTGACTCTGTCGTGTTCTTTCTCCTTTTTTCCTCCCTCAGACTTTATGTGTTTATTTTGAAAGGCAGAGTTACAGAAAGAGAAAGGGAGGGGAAGAAAAGGGGAAAGGTAGAGAGAGAGGTAGAGAAAAAGAGAGAGAGACAGAGAGAGAGATCTTCCATGTACTGGTTCATTCCCCAAATGGCCACAATGGCTAGTACTGAGCCAGATCAAAGCCAGGGGCTTCATCCAGATCTCCCACATGGGTGTCAGGGGCCTAAACACTTGGGCCATCTTCTACTGTTTTCTCCAGTCCATTAACAGGAAGCTAGCTCAGAAGTGGAGCAGCCAACATTTGAACCAGCACCCATATAGTAAGCTGACACTGCAGGTGGTGGCTTAACCTGCTATACTCCAGCTCTGGGGTAAGTCATTCTGGCTATGTCCCAGCTTCTACCTCAGAACATCGGTATACTGCTCTGGGGCATGGGTGAACACTGAATGAAGAAACAATGGTAGTGACTGTGTGGGACAAGAGTTCTACAAGTCTTGCTGATAGCTCTGTAGTGGCCAGGAAGGCACAAGGCACTGGATTTACTATCCAGCCAAGGGTGGCCAAGATGGAGGTCATGCTGGGAATGCACCATGAATGATTAGTAGGTGAGGCTGAGAGGCCTCTAACAGGCAGGACCGCCTTTCCCCCCCCCCGCCAGTCTGCATTTGCCTTGAGCATAACACGCTCTGCTGTTTGCTTGCTGCCTCTGTGTCCATCAGCATTTGAAAAGTCTCCAGCCTGTCGGGTGCGGCTTGGACAAGCTTTGTTGACTTTCCCAACAGTGAAGGAGTCCTTTCTCTGATTCTGGTTGCCAGCGAGTGCAGTGCTCTGTGTGGAGTAGGTACACCCTGAGTGATTGCTGAGTGAATCAGTAAGGGGCAGCGGAAAAGGAACAAATTAGGGGAATGTGTCAAGTGGATGATCTTGCATGTCTAGTCCTTGGGCGGGTCGCTCTTTTCTAGTGGGCTGAGGCCAGTAACGCATGCTAATATCACAGATGAGAGAATCTCTTCTGCCGGTCAGCTGTCCCTTTAAACCGATGTGAAGCACTGTTGACCTTGTGATGTCTACATCACCTGGACATCTGCATCCCAAATCAGCGCACCTGGGTTCGAGTTCTGACTCTGCTCCCAATTCTAGCTTCCTGGTTACAGAAGATGGCTCAAGTCTTGCCTACCCACATGGAGACTGATTGAAACCTAGGCTTTTTGCTGCAGCCTAGCCCCACCCCTGGCTGCTATGCACACTTGGGGAGTAAACCAGAAATTGGGAGTTGTCCCTCGCTCTCTCTTCTCTTCAAACAAAGTGAATATGTAAAATTTAAGAATAAGCAAACGTGACCCACAAGTCTCCTGCTACATCCCCTTGGAGAAGGAATGGCTTCTCTGGCGTACTGGGCTTGTACCTGTCTTGGAAGCAGTTCTGGTACCACACCAGGCCTCCCACTCTCTTGATACCCTCCCTTCTGGCTTGCAGAATAGGGGATGGGAGCTGGGCTGGCTTTCCTGGGAGCTGGTTTGCAGGGACCACCTTTGGATTAAGAATCACAGGAGTCATACCCCCAGACAGTGGCATGTAACCTGGGCGGGCCTGCGGTTCCAGTCTTCCTGCCTTGGCAGCTTGCGGAGTGGGTAAACGAGGGGGCACCTCCTGCACTTATGGAAGTGGATCCAGCTTTGGGTGGGGCTGCTTCTAGTACAACATCTGTGTCTGCCTCCTGTGTGGACTCTAGTCTTAGTCCCCTGAGGGTGGTGCCCACAGCCTCAGGTGCCATCCCGATGTAAGGCTCTCCAGACAGAACCAACTGATGGATGGGTAGGTGGGTGGACGTGGAAATGTGGGTGATTCAATAGAGGTGTTAGCTCATGCAGCTATGACAAGTCCCATGACAGACTGTCTGGGAGCTGGAAACCCTGGGTGGCTGGTGGTACAGCTCAGGGCAACCTAAGGCCTGGGAGTCTGGGAGCCGCTTGGTGTAAGCCCTGTAGTCCTGATGTCCCAAGGTGGGAGAAGAGAACCCCATCCCAGCAGCAGGAGAGAGCGGGAGATTTGTTCTCCTTCCTGTGATGGTTCCCAGCTCACGGGCAGAACAACTCCATCTTGGCAACTCAGACTCACACAACAACACTGAACAGAAACGCCCTGAATAATGCCTTACAAGTCTCAAGGGATTCATGCAGTAAACCTGGAAAGCTGACCATCACCCCCATTCAAGTTCAAAGTCAGCTTGGCAGTAGCCAGGACAGACTCAGCTTGGTTCAGCTTGGGTCCTGTGGCTGGAAGATGCCCCACCTTGCACATTCAGGCCCAAGTTCTCTGGCTGCCAAATGACATTTTGTGTCACCCTTGGAGCTTGCAGAGAGGACAACAAGGGCGGTGAGGGGCAGCTTACCTCGTGGACCAAGAAAGGGTGTGGAGTAGAACCTCAAAAGGCATTCAGGGCACCGCTCAGAAGAAAAGGAGGTGGATATTAAAATGACAGCTGTGCCTGGCAGCTGGGTACTTCCTACCAGGAGACAGAAAGCATGGAGACAAGCCTTCCCTTTGCTGTAGAGTTTTCCAGCCTGACCCTAACAGACTCCCTCAAGCTACCCCGCTTGACAACCTCTGTAGCCTGCAGGCCCATGCCACCCTTCCTATCTTGTGTGTCCGCATGTGCATCCAGGTTCTGAGCATTGGTCCCTCACAGTGCCTTGCTGGGCATTTGGGGTGTGGAGTTTGCCCAATGATCTGCCAACAGATGGAGCAACTGACTGATTGTGGTTGAGGCCACACAGGAAGGCACCAACCTGATGCAAGCGCAACACTGCCAAGAAAGAGGAACTGTGCAATCCACCTGATTTGGGAAAGATGATGGAGCTTTCTTGGGAAAAGGCAAATACCCTTCTTGCTCCCCAGCCCTAGTGAAGGGATCTTTCTTTCTTATGAAGAATCACAGCCTGCCTGTAGTAGGTTAAGCTGCTACCTGCTGCGTTTTCATCCCATATCAGCAAGCCAGTTTGTGTCCCAGCTGCTCTGCTTCCAATCCAGCTTTCTGCTAATGCACCTGGGAGAAGGTAGATAGATGAGGAAGGCCCCAGGACTTGGGTCTCTGTCACCTATATGGGGGACCAAGTTGGAGTTCCTGTTTTCTGGTATCAGCCTGGCCCAGCTCTGGTTGTTGATGCTACTTGAGGAGTGAACTGGAGGATGGAAGTTTCATTCTCTCTCTGTCTCTCTCTCTCTCTGCCTTTCAAATCAATCAATTTATCCTGAAAAAGAATTTAATGAAGGCCGTGGACAATTTATTTCCCAGCACAGCACCCTGTCCAGCTCGCAGGGGGGCAACTGAAGAAGAGGCCACTGATGTCTGCCCTCAGAGGCCACCCTGCAGTGAACAGAGCCCTGGATCCCAGGTATGGGGTGACCGCCCCTCTCCCTGACTGCTGCCTCTGTTCACTGCCATCCGTGACCTTGGCACCCAGCACAGAGAGAGGCGGGACTGGACAGAGAGGGTCAGCCAACAGGCACTGGGCCACCACCGAAGGGCAGGGAGAGACAGGGCAGCCAGTCAGGCACCGGGGTAAAGGAGGGCTGCTGCAGGACGGTGAATGAGCATTTGGGGCAACAACCAGGTCAAGGGCTTGGAAGGACGAGGGCAGAACCGGACAAAAGGCTCCTCCCGCAACCAGAGTGCAGCAGGTGCCGCTCCCGGCGCCGAGAGGGCGGAGGAGAGGGTGGGCTCTGCACCCAAAGCCCCGCCTCCGCCACGCCCAAGGCCACGCCTCTTGCCCCTGTCCTTGCGCAAGGCCCCGCCTCTTGATTAGCCCCTCCCTTCTTCCCGCCCCCGGCCCGCCCAAGGCCCCGCCTCTCGATTAGCCCCTTCCATCCCCCGCCCTCTGCCCGCCCAAGGTCCCGCCTCTTGATTAGCCCCTCCCTTCTCCCCGCCCAAGGCCCGCCCAAGGCCCCGCCTCTTGGCGAGCACCATTCTCGCGCTCCGCCTCCAACCCTCCCAAAGCCCCGCCCCCACGCTCGTCCCGCCCCAAGGCCCGGAAGCGAAAGCCGCTCCGCCTCTTCCGAGCAGGGTCGCGTCCCGGCCAGTTGGGCATGAGGTGCTGGACCCTCGGCAGGTCCAGGTAGCTCCGGGCCGGGCGCGATGTCCCGCAACCTGCGCACCGCGCTCATTTTCGGTGGCTTCGTCTCCCTGGTGGGCGCCGCCTTTTACCCCATCTACTTCCGGCCCCTGATGATGCCGGAGGAGTACAGTGAGTGACCTCCGACCCCGCGCGGTGGCCCCGTGGGTTCCACGCATCCACTCGGGAACTGGACGGAGCTTCTCGGACCCTCAGCGTCGCATTGTTAATACCTGGGTCTGCACTGGTTGTAATACGGCCAGATCGAGAGCGCTCGGCACGTGGGTGCTCCTTGCAGGACCCCACTGGGGTTACAGCGGGGACCCCTAGAAGCAGGGCAGCCCGCCCAGGGTCACACAGGGCGGCGAAGGGGCCAGGCCTCGGTCTCCAGGGAGTGGGCAGGTGTCCAGGCCGAAAGGTCTGTGTCTTGGGCTGCAGTTCCACTTCCAGATGCCTTTGCGTCAGTGTTTGAACCCTCTCCTGTTCTCCCAGGCTTTGGCGTTGTTTCCCAAACGGTTTTCCAGATTCTGCTCAGTTCCTTCCTTTGCACCTGTTGGGCACGTGACCACAGGAGTGATTTTCCTCCTTAATCATTCCAGTCAGTCCTGTCGTCCACAAAGCCAAATTGGAGACCCATGCCTGGGTGAGGAAGATGCCATGATGTATTTAAAACCATTTGCTACAGAGTGCCAGGCATGGTGTTCCAGAATCCTCCAGAGGACCCACGCATGCCTGCTGTGGCCTTTGAGGGTGTTAGCAGAGGCCGAGAGCCTGGCGGTTGGACGGTGAATGCTCCGTGGGATACACTGCCTGGTGCAGGTGTGGTGGCTGGAGGCAGCACGCTCAGCACACACACTGGCTTCCTGGTCCTGCTTGCCACCAGCCCTGACTGATGGGCCTCTGCAGTGGGCCTGCCTGGGATGGTCTGGGGTCCTGCATGATCTGTCCATATCACCTTTCCTGATGGGGTTCCTGCCCCAGGCTGTTTTATGGAAGCCTCTAGAATTGAGGTTGGGGGTCAGGGTTTATTCTGGATTCTGTTAGGAAAGTTTCAGCTGTGAATCATAAAGACAGCTCTTCTAGCTGGTGGCCACTGGTGCTCCAGTGGGTGCATGTCACGGTGTGGAGGCTGGGGGAGAAAAGGCTGCTACCCCAGGGTGCCCAGGTCAGTCTGCTGTGACCAAGCATGAACTGAACCTCACTGTGAGTGGAGCTGTGATGAGCGACTCAGGTCAGCTGGTCAAGGTGAAGGTTTGAACCGTGTGTCCCCACTATGGTCTAAAAGGATGCCTCAGCACCTTTGATTGTTGGAGTTTTGAGACAGACCCATCGGACCTTTTAGGGTGACATTTAGTGTGGGTGGCTCTGGTATCTGCACTATTAGCTCCTGCCTGCCCCGTCTCAATTTTGATAAATATTCTCAACTCTTATCCGAGTGTCCCAGCTGAGTCTTAGGTGAAAGTGCACTGTATGTCTGCGGCACTTGTAAGCACTTCCTCTACTTGTGCGTGAACCCATTTCATGAATACAGCAGCCCCTGTGAGATCCCTTTTTATATGTGGACAAACCGAGGCATGTGACAGGTGGCTTGCACAAGGCCTTCTCACAGAGCGGGCTTTGCACTGCCACCATTGGCCCCTCTGCTGGGGCATAGCACCCTGGCCTACCACAGCAGTGGGTCTGAATGCCCTGGGAAGCTTGCTTGCTCTGAGCCCTGCTTATCTTCCCATCTGGAGCAGTGGAAATTTGGAGCCGAGTTTATGAGGTTTTTGGACAAATTAAATGAGGCAGTGGATGTGAAAACACCGTGTTTTGTCAGGCACTCCACAGCAGGTGGACAGTTAACAGCTAGCTTACCTGACAGGTCAGGCACCTCACTGGGTGGTGACCGGGTGGCAGCAACGTGCTAGATGGACAGAGGTTCCATTCATGCCAGTGCCTTCAGGTAGGGAACATTTCACTTTATGTCTGTTCTTTGCTTCTTTCTTTCACTTGGATTTTAGCAGTTGCTTATACCTGGTGCTGTTGGCTACTGGGTGTCCCCAACCAAACTTGACATTTGGTCACTTCTTTCTGTTGCGCTTTCATGCTACGTGTATGCCTCCCATGTTACTTTGGTCTTGCCTTGTGTTTGCTACCCTCTTAAGTTATCCAGCCCTCTGTTTATGCCCCCAAGTGCTTCTCTTCACCTGTGCCCTTCTCACCAGTCCCTCTTGCGTCTCCTCTCTCAAGTTCACTTCCCTTCTTCCTGGCATGCATCTGTATTTCCTTGGTGCCAGCTTAGAACCAGGAAACTCAGTTCTGATTTGTTGGCAAAGGAGTAGCGGTGTAGGATGGCAGTGGCTGCTGGGGAGCCCATCTGGCCCTGGTTTGGCTCTGTGAGTTTGCTCATCCCGCTTTACTAAAAGGGCTGTGGCCAGCAGGGGCAGGTAAGAAATGAACGTACCCATGGACTTTACAAAAAGAAGATAAGAATTCCGAGTTGGGTCTGTACCAAGTGCTTTCTGACGTTGGGAGGTGGCAGCAAGTAGATCCCAGAGGATGCAAGGTGGACCTGGTCTGCGCACTGTTGGAAGGCGGCCGGCGGCACAGGGAGGAGGCTGGCCCAGTGCTGTTGGCAGCAGGTTCAGGGAGAGCTTTATTTTTATTTGTGGCTGGCAGAGGTGAGAGAGTTAGGACAGAGAAAGGAGCTGAGGGAGGAGGCACTCAGAGTGGGAGGTGATGCCAGGTCATGTACCCAGATGGAGGGGTGAACCCTGGGCTGAAAGGTGGGTGCCTCTTGCATCTACTGTGGAGGAGGGGCAGGTGTGGGTGAAGTCTGCATGAGTGGAGTATGGTTGGGTGGAACCTGAGTGAATGGAGCCAGGGGTGGTTTGGTGCTGGCAAGCAGTGGACACTTCTGGGGGTTTCTTGTGATCTGGGTGCAGTTCAGAAGCCAGGTTGATTCAGAGATGGGCCACAGAGGAGTGAGACTTCAGTCTCTCCTGGCAAGCCCCGCCTTCCTGGCCCACACCCCTTACTAGCACTGCAGCATTTGCTGTTTGTGTCCTCCCTTGTGGGGCCTCCCCTACACCACCCTGTACTCAGGTGCAGCCCCCAGGCTGGGCGCTGCCTTGGAAGGCAGAGCAGGGACTGGGGCCCTGAGAACTGGTTGCCAGTGAAACAAGACTTGGAGCCAAAGGCCAGCCAGAAAGGAGCCATGGTTTTCAGCGGGCTCAGGCTGGTATCGACTGAGGGGCAGGATGTGGACGACTCAGTGGCAGGGTCTGTGCCAGAATAAGGTGGCAGGAAAGGGCAGAAAGGCTGTATATATAAAACCAAGCCCCGAAGGTCCTTCGTGCTGACAGAGCAGGTGGGCGCCATCACAAGACTGCTCGGCAGAACTTGGTACAGGCCTGCAGTGGGACTCTCGGCTCATCCCGTAGCTCCCCAGGGCTTGGCTGCTGCTGTGCCCTTGGAGTTGCAGTCAGCACTGAGTACGGGCTCAGGGATCACGAACTGGAAGTTCAGCATGTCTCGTCCTGTGCCTCTCAGTGCAGGCTGTTTGATATTGTGACGATGTTGACTTTCATCCTGTTGTCACTTTGTCTGCAGGGGAGCAATTAGGGAAGAGCGTTGGAGTCCGTTATCGGACCCTAAGCTGTATGTGCTACAATTGGACGGGATCCTGACTGTGACCTTTTTTGAGGCCAGTGGTGAAATGAGACAAAATTGGAGAGTTTGGCCAGCAGGGACTTGAACTCCCTGAGTCCCCCCCAGTTAAGTGACTTATTAAAGGTCAGCCAGTGTTCATTGCTGGGTGGACACAGGCCCTCATGCCCATGGCCTTGCTTGTGAGGGGCCCTGAGGAAGGCTAGTCAAGGGCACAGGAAGGGGCCACACTCCTGGGTCACCTGGGCCTGTGATTCCCTGGCCATTCACTGCCTTGATTCCCTGTACCCTACACAGGCAGAGCAGGGCTCTCAGGTGTCACTTAGCATGAAGTGATTTTTGCCTTGGAGGGACTTTTGCCACATTGTCCCACATGCCTGGTGCTCTGTACCTGCTTTTCCTTCTTCCTGCCCCATAATCTAATGAAACGTTCAGACTGAAGCTATCTTTGCCACCTGGTATCCCAGAGCTCCTCGGAATCACCCTGCATGGCAGGGAGGAAGCAGGTGGCACATCGGGAGGAGGCAGTGTTGGCTCTGAGTGGCCTGCCCAGCCCTTGGTCCTGTTGTACTGTTAGGGTCCTGCAGTCTGCCCCCAGCCTCGGGCTGACACCAGTGGGTTCAGCTGTCTGGTGCCTTCAGCTTCTGGCTCACATCTGCCGTTCTGTCCCCTTGGTACCCCTTAGTTGGCCAGCTCACACCTATGGTCGCACCTGTTTGATACCCCGGGGCCTGGGGCATATACCTGCTGTTAAAGCTTTTTAGGCAAATTGAGCTTCTGGCTCCCACTTTGGTGTTACCCCATGAGCTGAAGAGTCTGTGTCTAGGCCATACCAGTGACATGTGAATAGCGAGAGAAAGAAAGAGATGTGCACCTGCTGAGTCACTGCTCAACTGACTGCAGAGGCCCTGGCTGGCTGGCCAAGCCAGGAGCCTAGAACTCTATCTGGAAGTGGAAGCGCCATCTTCCACTGCTTTCCCAGGTACATCAGCAGGGAGCTGGATCGGAAGTGGAGCCACTGGGACTTGAGAAAGCACTCTGTATGGGATAGTGATGGTTCAGGCAGCAGCTGGCCACGATGTGCCACAGTGCCAACCCCAAGCTGTGTTTCTGTAATTGAGAAAAAGTCCGTATCAACAGGGACCACAGAATAGTACAATGAATTCCTGTATGTGCTTCACCTAGATTTACCAGTTTTTAACATTTTGTCATATTTTGCTTTCTCCCCTAAATATAATAATATATAAACACCAATATATATATCTGTAATTTTATATGCACAGTATGTAATTATTCCTGTTATTTTGCTGAGTCAGTTGACAGTAAGTTGGAGACACTGTGAGCTTTTATTCCTGAACACTTCAGCCTGTATTTCCTAAGAACAAGAACATTGTCTGACATTAGCACAATGCCACTATCCAGTCCAGAACACTTAATATTGGGGCAATTGCTTCATCTAACATGCAGTCCATATCCAAATTCTGCCATTTATCCCAATCACCTCTTGTTGCATTGTAGTTTTTTGTTTGCTTTAATTTCTCAAATTCGTTTGAAAGAATGACAGGGAGAGAATGGAGACAGCGATCTTCCATCTGCTGGCTCACTCCCCAAATACTTGCAACAGGCAGAGTTGGACTAGGCTGAAGACCGGAACCCAGAACTCTGCCCAGGTCTTCCGTGGGGGTAGCAGGAGCCAAGTGCTTGAGCTTATCACCTCCTGTCCCCCCAGGTGCCTCGGCAGGGAGCTGGATGGAGGCAGAGCAGCCAGGATTTGAACATGCATTGTGATACATGAGGCAGCTGTTCACATCAATCTGCCGTTCCACAGCACCAGCCCTGGCAGAAGGAGAGGGGAAAGAGGAGCCTGATGACGTCATCTGCATTATTTTATCTGCTTTTGTACTTAAGTTCCTATCTGCTGGTCCTCCATGAGCACACACCCGACTAGTAGTTATGAAGATTGCGTCGGTCTTAGATGCATTAACAGGTCCCGCAGCAATTTATTTCCCAACGCTGGCCTTTAATATTTAAAGATATGTTTTTTTTTTCAAAGGCTTAGAAAGTTATTAGGTAAATTCTTGTGCTTCCATGAAGAAAAGCGGACTGCATCCATGCGAGCCAGGCTTCAGTATGATACACCTTGCCCTTTGGAGATCAGGATGCTCAGTGAGAGCTGCAGATGTCCTCAGTGCCTGGCACCAGGGGGCAGAGTCGGGCTTGCTGGGCAGGTCTTCATTTTAGCTCCTGGCAGACCTGCCCACACCTGAAGACCAGAGCGGGTTTCTCCCAGTCTGTTCCCATAGCTAGACCCCTGACTCCTGCCACTTCCCTCACAGTCACCCTGGTCACCACGTACCTGCAAAGTCCTCACGGAAAGGTTTTCTGGCTTCCCTTTAGTGCATTTGGCATCCAAGAATAAAGTGCCTTTGTGCCATGGCACAAATTGACGTAAGATGGCTTTGGCCTTAGCGGGCTTGTACACCATTAACGGATTAAAGAACTCATGCCTGTAGATAGGATGCTAATGCCTGGTTATCACCTGCTAGGAACTGGTTTAAATTGCCTGTCCGTGCCAGATAGAGAGGTGGTTGCATTAGGATGGGGATTATGAAGAGATTACGGTCTATTTAAAACAAATCCTCCGTCTCTCTCCACCCTCATTAGCAGCTAACGAGAGTGTGAAGACAGAGATTTCTTTCTGTTTCGCATGTTTCCTGTTGCATCCTAAGAGGTTAGAACACAATTAAGGATTCTGTCCTTGTACCCAAAGTCAGCCTCCGTGGCTGCTTGGCAGGCCGCCTGCTGCTCTGGCCATGCACTGCCTGCCTGTTGGAGAACGTGCTGAGGGTACCAGGGTGCCTGGTCTTAAATCTGCAGGTCAGGGACTCTGACAGTCAGTCAGTTGTATTTAAACGCTTACCTCTTGTGGAATATCAGAGGACTGACCTTTTAGGTCTGGGGAAATTGTGGCTTTTTTGTCCTCCTGGGAGATTGACGGGAGCATTGGCAGTTTCTAGCACATGCATGCGGTGACCGTGTGTTGATACCTGCCTCTCAACAATGTGACAACACTCAGTCTATAAGCATGGTCTGTCTTGGGAAATGGGAACTCAGAAAGTGGGACGCTGCCGTGGTGGCCATCTCTCGTGCCCTCCAGACGAAAGAGGTCATTCAGCAGGCGTAGTTCCCAAGGTTCTGGGTGGTCGTTCACCTGTGGCTTTTCCTAGGGGAACAGGGTAAGGTGTCCGCCATTATCAGTGGTCAGCGCCGTGACACCCTGTCTTCTCTCTGTCCTTCTTAGAGTGGCACTTGAGGAGCCACACAATTGCATGTGTCCACGGTTTTCTTTCCTAGAGCAAAACTTGGCCATGATAAAGCTGTGAGGTAGGGCTTGGAGAAGTTGACTGAGTATCAGATGTGGCCAAAGACTATTTCTTGTACTTCTTAATGCTTATGTGACTTTAGGAGGATCCAGAGGCCAGCATAAAGAACAGGGCCTGATACCACTCAGGAGCCAAATGTGGTTAGCCCCAATGGAAGCAAGGTCTGAGCTCAGCATTCTGTTACTGTCATGGATTAGTAAATATGCTTTGCCTCTGAGTTTTCCTCTTCTAGAGCCACCAATAGTTTTAGAAGATACTTCAAATACTAAGTCTTCACTTTACAGATCTTGGGTTTATTTTAAACCACTTAGATATGCCACAGTGCTTGAGGCCCACAGAAGTAAAATGCCCCATTTCTCTTGGCCCTTGCCCATTGGTGTCGCCAGAGAGACCAGCTCTGCTGCTGTAGTGACAACGTGCTTGCTAATTGGCACAGCACCTGCAATCAATTAGGGGAAGCTTCAATTATCCAAACCAAAGCCACCCACCCAAAGATTAATTTTCTGCTCTATTTCCTATCAAAAACATGGCAGATTTAGCCCCGAGTCTGGTCCTGCAGCAGAGAGAGTGTTAGCCATATCAACTGCATCGCGTTCTTGTTCATTGTGCTCAGTCCTTCAATTCAGCAGCCCCGTTGTAATATTACGCCCACCCAGTCTTTCAAAATCGTTCTTTTCCTGTTGTTTTGTTGCCTTTCCAAAATGCTGAGATCACAAGGAAACGATGCTGGCTGGCAGCTTTCCTTCTCCAGTGTGGCTTTCTTTATTTTGTAGAAAACATCCAGTCTTCTTTGCATTCTGGGATCTAACTTCCCCGACCTAGAAGCCCCGAGGAACGGCACCTTTGAGTTTAATAGCACTCATAAATCCTGCTTTCTAATCGTCTCATGTCATTGGCTCATGTAAATACAAAGATTCCACCCTTCCCCTCTCTCTAAAGAACAATTTCTCTCTTGTGTTTTTCAGAGAAAGAACAAGCTATAAATCGGGCTGGAATTGTTCAAGAAGATGTGCAGCCTCCAGGTAAAGCTAAAAAAAAAAATCCTCTGAGGATCTCACATGGGCTGGTGGGTCAGGTCCCTGCTATGCTGTGCCATCCTGTGGAGGATTGGGCAGCCCTCGGGGCGTGGAGCTGTGCTGGGGAGCCAAGGGCCGTGGGCATCATCAGCCGTGGGCCACACACAGTGGTCACCTTCGGAAAGGAGCCTGCCTGCCCTGAACTGGTTGGGTTTTGAGTCCCGCATGCTGTTGCCTTGGCAGGGCCAGACCAAATGCTGTGGCAAACCTTGTATGGCTTGTGGTCTGTCCCCAAGGCCTGGATTGAAGTGTGATTTGCTCTTTATCTCACATAGTTGGTGTGGTATAGAGATGTCACCTAAGGCACAAGTTTAAAAATTCTCTCCAGAATATGTGTGTGTGTGTGTGTGTGTGTGTGTGTGTATGTGTGTGTGTATGTGTGTATTTTGCAAGTTTGCCACATTTTCTCTTTGGCATTTGATAAGTGGGCCTAGAAATGTAACAAGTGGCCAATTTGATAGGAGGCGGAAGGACGTGTGTTCCGTAGTTACTTTGCAGGCACTCGTTGAAGCACCACCCTTGTGGGAAGGGGGTATTTACTGGTGAATGCCTTTGATTGATGCAGGATTCTGCATTGCACAAAAACTCCAGAAATTCCATTAATGACTGCATGGGTGGTTCCTCAATGAGGATCCAAGTTGACAGAGAATAAAGAGGTTTTCAGCTTATTAACTGAGACTCTTGTCATCTCTGCCGACATTTTTTTATTTTTATTTTTTTCCCCCTTTTGCTAACTAGGCCAGCGATGTATCTCCCTGTTATGGGCAGCTTCTGAGCCATTTAGAAGTCCCTTGAGGCTACCCAGCCATTTCAGTCCAAAACACCAGGAACTTTTTGCCCAGTCTCACAGTGCAGAGAAATTGCACAGCTCTGTGCCAAGCTGGGATGGTTTGTTTGGGGTTGATGGAAATGGTAGGCCATATAAAAATGAATCCTCTTTTTCTTCATGTTTCTTTCCACAGGGTTAAAAGTATGGTCAGATCCATTTGGCAGGAAATGAAAGGGCTTTCAGTAACCCTGAATATGGATTGACACACCTCCACGTGCATTTTGGCACAGAGTCTAATAAATCATCTGGCTATCAAATGAAAGCTGGAGACGCCAACTCTACTGCTATCAATGGGAAGTACTTGTCATTGAAGCCTGCGCCAAAGGATTAAGACGAAGTAGCCAGAGAACCCTAGAATAAAGGACAGCATTGGGCAGCTCTTCCTGGTTGGGTTGAGTTTCCGGCTGGGTTTGGAGATCTGCTTATTGCTCAGCCTCCCCCCTGCCAACCCCTTCCCAGCAGCACCGTGATATGAATATGAGCCACCAGTGGGCCCAGGAAGGTTCAGATCTCCTTTGCCATCTTCCAAATCAGAGAATCCAGTAAAAAACCACCCTGCTGGGCTGCCTCCTAGGGCGCTTTGAAAATGTGCAAGTTGAAAAAAACGCTTTGAGAACAAGGTACTTGGTGCTGTTTAAACAGTCCAGCTTAACCATCTCTTGTGGAAGGCAGCTCTGTGGTGGAAGCAGGTGCACGTGTGTAGTAGAAATCACTGGCATATTAATAGATATGTGTACATTAAAATGATTTATTTTGACCTCATAGTGGTATATTTTTTTTTTCTGAAATTGGGTTTTATTAACCCTAAAGACCAAGATGTATCTCTTGACTTAGTGTATGTGCAAGGAAGTATTTTAAAGGTAACTTACAATTTGGAGAGACTTTTATTTATGGAGTGATTTTCTACCAGGCCCCCCCAAATATTGCTAAGAGAAGAATGAAATTCCTCTCCTCTGCTCCTTTCCTCTTTCTCATTCCAGCCCCTTGTTAGATCGTGTGTCTGAAGAAGGCTCCTTTTCATGTGGCTGTCAGTGTGCCTTGCATATTACTGGAAGCTGCCTTTAGATGAACTGGCTGGTGACATAATTATATTATTGGGAACTTAGAGTTTTTTTTAATAGCCAGTTGACTCACTGATGTCATTACTGCTGAAAAGAAGTAAGATTGATGGTCCCAGAGCCACGGTCACGGTGCTTGGGACGCATCCCCTAACATGCAAATTGAGTGAGAGTTAACAGGCTGGTGAAGGAAGCTGACTCATTAGAAGTATCTTTGATTGTTTGGTGGGGTAACTGAGAAGTTAGGTAGCAGAGTGCCACATGCTTAATTGAGATTTCCCTGTGAGTGAAGCAAGTTGCTGGTACTGTGTGCTGTGGAAAACACAGCACACAGTCCAGGCTCAGACAGCCATGCCTGATGCTGACCCTGGGCCTGCTTCTCTGCTGAGAGGAAGGGGCTGTGTGTCCCGTCCAGCTGACTTCGTGTTCTCAGAGGTTAGACTTCAGACTCTGCTGTCCACACTTGGCAGAGGTTAGGTTGCTGTTTCTGATTGTGGACCAAGCATCCTACTGCACCTGCAGAGTGATGATCGAAGCACTTGGTAGGGGGCTACCAGAGGACCCTGGACTGTATGCTGAGACATTTTGTCCCCCTTGTGGTTAAGCTGTAGGTATGCCTTCCAAGAGAACCAGGCATGGGCCTGTCAGTTGGGGATGGAAGAAGCTGACAATATTTCTTACTGTTCTCAATGAAATGAAGTTGTAGGAGCTCTAGTTTTTTAGTATCAAGCTGTATCCTCATTGGTAAGACTTGGAACCAGAAATTGCAACATGGCCCAGCAGTTGGTGTTATGTCCCATAGAACATTCAGTTCTATACTTTGATTCCCTCTTTGGGCTGGCTGATGGGAAACTCAGCCATATTTGTAGGCCAGCTTTTTGAAAAGTACTTCAGATCTTGTTCAGTTTTTTCCCCCATCCTCCAGCCCTTGTATTCTTTTCCACCATTTTACTGTATTCCTTTATGCTAAACAGTATGTTGTACCCTTCATTTTAGAATAAGGCTGTGCTGTTCCTGCTGTTGAGCATAACTGGGGTGAGGTGCAGGCAGGGGCTGGCTGGACTGCAGCACCTCTTGGCCTATATGCAGGCCAGGTTTGGGTTGGCTAGGCTGGGCAAGTCTGAATTACCTGCTGGTTAACATGTGAGCCAGGTCTGGGGGCAAGCCAGGCTGGAATAGATGGTAGGCTAGAGTCGGAAATAGGTATAAACCAGCTGGGCTAGGCTGCAACACTTCTCAGTGAGTGCCAGGATGGGAGGGCCAAGGCAGGCTGGACCACAGCATCCCATGGCAAGCACAAGATCTGTGACTAGGAGTGGGCCTGGTGGGGGAACTATGGACACTCCCCCACTGGGCTTCAGGTTCCGCTGGTGAGCATTAGAGCCAGGGCTGGGCCAGGCTGGACAAGGCAACACCCATTGGCATGCGTGTGAACAGTATGGGGACAGGTGAGGCTGACCTAGACTGCAACATCCATGAATGGGTGTGAAAACCTGACAGGAAGTGGGCCAAGCCAGACTGAGCTGTAGTACCTGTAGGCATATGCAAAAACTGGGGCTGGGGATGTGCTGGGTGGGGATTACTGGGGGTCACCTCAACTAAGCTGAAGCACCCACCTGTGTACATGAGGGCCAGGCCTATGGCTGCTGAGCTGGGCAATGCCGCGGTACTCACCAGTTTGCATAAGAAATAGAACTGAGGGAAGAGCTAATTGGGCAGCTGTGTCTGCCAGCATGTGTGTTGGCTGGTGTTGGGTGACCAGATGAACTTGACTCTGCACTAGCTGTCACATACAAGAGTCAAGGCAGGTTACCCCACGCAAGGATTTGTGGGAGACTGTCCAAACTAGACTGCTGAACCCAAACCCCAGCCTCAGGGAAAAATCACAAGATTTATGATCCGGCCTCAGAATAAAGGTATTAAAACTGGACCTCTTCAGTTGCTGATGCCTGTGTCATGGACAGCCTGCCCAGATTCACATGGGGGGACATGACAGCCAGCTCATCTGGGCAAACGGGACGTTTTCCATTAAAAGATGGAAAGCACAGAAAGTTGGATAACTGTCCTGGCCAGACCTTGCAGTGAATGTCTAGGTTTGTGGCTACACGGGAGTAGACCTGGTCAGCCAACAAGATTTCTGTTCCTTGGAAGGGTTTCCTAGCCCTGGTGCAATGGAACCAATCGCATCCCAGAACGATGAAGACAATCCAGCAGCATCCTAGGCACCGTCTTCACACATTGGGGTCTCTAAGGCAACAAACGACCACCTTCATTGTCTCCGTGCCTGGGCGCTCACATAGTTTGACAACAAGGAATGGGTCTCCTTTTCCCATCATGTGGGAAAAGGGAAAAAAAAAACCTGAAACATTGATCTCAGCCACCTTCCTCCACACCTTGACCCTTCTCAGCCTCATCAGAGCCCCACATGGACATGCATCCCTCTCAACTATAAAAATATTTTAAAAAATAAGCTAAAGTAACAATTTTTAAGATGTGGCTAGGGTCTGGTGCAACGGGCCAATGGCTAAATCCTCATTTTGCAAGTGCCAGGATCCTATATGGGCACTGGTTCATGTCCTGGCTGCTCCACTTCCTACCAGCTCCCCGATTGTGACTTGGAAAAGCAGTGGAGGATGGCCCAAAGCCCTGGGACACTGCATTCAAATGAGAGGCCTGGAGGAAGTTCCTGGCTCCTGGTTTTGGATCAGCTCAGCTCCAGTTCTTGGCAGTGTCCATTGGGGGAGTGAACCAGCAGACAGAAGATCTTTGTCTCTCCTCTCTATAAATCTGATCTGTCCTTTCAATAAAAATAAATTTTAAAAAATGGATGTCAGTAACACAGATTCTGCTGAGAAAAGCTCACTATAGTCTAGTAAAGAAACTGGAATTCACAGAAAAGATTAAAATAATCAGGAATATTGAAAGTGCCTTTAAAGAGGTCAGATGTCTACTAGTGGTGGACATAAGGTGCACTTATGGCCCTGCAGCTCTACCTCGGGGTGCTTATGTAGCATGAATGCAGGCACAAGTGCACCAACAGACGTATGCTAGGATGTCCATGGCAGAGTTGGCACCCGCTCCAATGCCCATCAACAGCCAGAGCACAAGCCCAAAGCGTTGTGACGTATGCACAAGGTGGCACGCAGTACAGGCATGAGCAAGAACACTGCTGTCATGCTTGCAGTGCTGAATGAACGAGGGCCCTTGTGAGAGTACAGACTTGTAGCTTCAGTTCAGATGGAGGATAAAAGCAAGCAAAGCATCAAGCACTCAAAAGCCAGGGCAGTCTCCTGCATTCTTTTTTCTTCCTTCTCTCTCTTTATTTTTTCTTAAGAAGGAGTGAGTGGCCTCTGCAGTAGTGGTGGCAACAGGTGGGCATCCCCGAGGTGAGGGAGTCTTAGTCTCCTGCTCTCTGATAGGCACCTTGTTACCAGAGATTCAGACTGCATGCTATCCCTGAAGATCCTTGTGCACTTACCATTCTCCAGCAGACTCATTATTCCGTTAGGGATGGAGGAGATAACCTTGTTATCAAAAAGAGGTTTGTGTCAGAGGCAGGACTAGACTAACAGTGTGAAAGGAGGCAAGAAGAATGGGAGAAAATTCAAAGAGATGAAGATCTAGAGGAAGATCTGGTCTCTATGAAAGACTACAGGAAGCAGCCGGAGTAGGAGGAGCAGTCCAAGTTCAAAACCATGGTAAGAGGCTTAGATGAAGATGAGACCAACTTCCTTGAGAAGGTTTCTCGGCAGCAAGAACTATGAGAAAAACAGTGAAAAGAGGAAGAGCTGAAAGAACTGAAGGAGTACAGAAGTAACCTTAGTAAGGCTGGACTTTCTTCAGAAAACAAGGAGGAAGTGGAGAAGAAGCGGACTGGGAAACCGGGAGAAAGCAAGCACACGTTCTCACAAGCGAAGCTGTTGGCAGGAGCTGTGATGCCTGAGCTCAGAGAGCAGCAACAGTGTGAAAACTGGAACCAGACCCAGAGGACAAGAGGCCGCGCCCTGTGTGTCTAAGTGGCCCCTCCATCCGCTGTCGCTCTGCTGCAGTCTGTATGGGCATCCTGCCAGGCCTGGGCGCCTGGGGAGCAGCGACTGAGTCCAGCTCACACACAGCGGAGGCACCATCAACGCAACGGGGCAGAGCGTCTCCTGCATCTTCTGAACCAACACCTTCCCGGAGGCCCCCTTGTGCCCCTGTCCTCAGCACAGCGAGCTCCTCTCCCCCAAGTAGTTGGACTGTTCCTTCTACCTGCCTCCTGTACACACCGTGACGTTTTTTAACGTACCCCCCCCCCCCCCGGCCCCGCCAAATGTGCCAGAACCTACTCGTGACCCAAATTGCATTTAGTTTCTCTTTCTGCTCCAGTGCAGGTGACCAGACCTGTCCTGCTGCCCCTTCGCTCGCTGATGGGATCAGCTGGGGGCAAGGCACAGCAGAAACTCCTGGGGGGATGAGCACCAGCTGGCTTGCAAAGGGCGTGGGTTTTCTCGCTTTCTTGCTTTGCTTTCACAGTATTGCCGGGAAACAAGCGCAGTAACAGGACAGGTCGTATCTACCTGTTCTGTTGTAGCTGAACACATTGCTTGGTTCTGCTGCACCGTGGGGCATGTGGGGGCGGAGAAGTGACCCAGGAGAGACACGGAGCTTGTCCTGGGGCTCACAGGTCTTTGATGTTGTGTGACTAAGTGCACCTGTCTGGGT